ATATTATATCATATTATACATGTATTATATTATTATAGTATAGTATAATTCTGTTCTACTCTATTCTGTTCTAATCGATTCTACTTTGTCTTTTCGCAGAGCCTTTCAACTGAAGACGGGGTAGGCCTGTATCCCTTTTAGCCGGGGTTGGCTCTGACGAGCACGGTCGAATCCTGTCTCCTAAGTGATCGAAATTTTGTCGATGTGGTCGTAAAAAACCCTTTTTAACACAGGTTAGTGATCATACTAGTGCACCTTGAATAGCTTTTGACAACAGTCACTGAACAGACGTACAGTCGAACATGATAAAGACCACCTGTCCAAGCCAATCACCTGTACAATCGACCACTTCCCACTTCCCCCTTCCCCCTTTGCGTTTTCAAAATATATTATGACACTGCAAGACATTAGACAAACACTTTTCTCTTCGACAACTGGTGGCCATTTTGGACAATATATATCGACTGCAACGGACGAGAGAATCACACCCAACAAAGGCCCATTCAATGATATTTTATATAGTATAGCCACAAACCTGTAAAAAAGCTCAGTTACAGTAACAACACATTTATTCCTCCTTTCTCAATTAACGAGAAAGTTATTATTTTTTTCAAATGTAGTTCACACACAACGTTCCGCTTCACTGACTGCCGCCAATAGTTTTTAGAGGAAAATTTATGGGGAACCCCCTTGTACTCTGGTCTATTTTTGCCCCGATCATATTTCCCATGTATAGCATGTTTAAACTGCTCAAGAAGCAAGTCAACTTTGTCTTGAAAGGCGATGAGTGAAAGTATGCCTTCTGGCTTAAGGGAGCCTGCAAATGCCATGACAGACATTAAGCTCCCTTATGAAAATGAAGTTTATCAAGCCAAACCACTTTAAGAAAAAGTCCGTTTTTTTTGTCTCTCCTGTGAAATTTAACAAACAGGACTTACCATATTGTACTTGGCGGCCCTCAAACTGTCTGGAAATTTTTGATTTAATAAAGACAAATTTAATTGAAACAAACTGCTGTGCAAAGTATGGATGACATTGATTCACCGGAAATCTTTGCAGACGCGCATTCTGGTCATTCGTACGCTTGAAGACACAATGTTCCGGAATGCTAAAAGAAGTATAAATTCGTTATTCATACGGAGTTTTCAATTCTGTGTCATTTATCTAGTACTTAAAAGGACAGGTAACAATAATGTATTCTATGATATAAACAAACTTGTGTTTCTAGTCTTTACAATGGCTCGAAATATCCCGCCACTTTGCTTTTGATCTGCTGCTGTCGGACTTATGTGTCCGCTTCGTCCTTAATGAGTTAATTAAAGAGATAATTGGGGAAAAGTTGCGCAACGAATTATTGACCGCGCTATAGGATTTTTATATTAGTATTTATTAAGGAATTTTCTAGAATAGAGCTAACAGGTCTTTACAAAAATATGGTTCTGTTAAGACAAATTGATATAAGTAGCTGTGATAAAGCTGGAGAGTTATGTTCGGTAGTTGAGATATTTGACAATAAACTGCGACATGAATTTTTGACCGCACTATAGTGCAAAATGCAGATATGAGAATGGCGTGGTTATTCGTAGAAGGGCAAAAGCTTGGTTGATTTCGTCGGTCGCCTGATGAAATTGTGTATTCCACACGAAACAAATTTTACTGGAGAGGGAAGAAAAAACTGATTTTCTTCGTCATTTGGAGTAAGGCATAAACTACGCGCGCAAAAGGGAAGACTAGTCCAGTGCCTTTAAGAAATATACATGTTATTAAAGAACATTTTTATACCGCTGATTGTCATTTTTTCCAAAAAGTGTCGGATTCAAAATTTTTTCATTTTCGAATGCAAGATGGCCTCTAGACAATACCGGATTGGCAATGCTGAAACAGCCGGAGGGAGGAGGAGATGTGTGAAAGGGGGGGGGGGGGGACATGAACGTCAAACTGCACGCTTGTGCAGTTATATCTCTATTCCTCTCTGAGATCAAACAGTAGCAAGAGGACTGTTTACTCCGACTGTTTGTTTATCTCAAGATACAAACTAACTACAAGTTACCAAAATGGATTGTAATACATGTAGGACTATTTAGGTATTAAGTACTACTTTTCAAATTAGAAAGCCTCCTCCCTCCAAAACCCCCCCAACAAAAACAACAACAATAAACAAAACAAACAAACCCACAACCCCCTCCCCCACACAACACCCCCC